GCCCCTTCACCTGTAAGCACTCTCTGCTCCTCTCTCTCTCTCTCTCTCTCTCTCTCTCTCTCTCTCTCTCTCTCTCTCTCTCTCTCTCTCTCTCTCTCTCTCTCTCTCTCCTCTCTCTCTCTCTCTCCTCTCTCCTCTCTCTCTCAACCCCACACAAAATATTCACAATATTCAGTCTTGTTAATAAGGTTTGTCACCTACGGAACCCCACGGGCCTTTCTGCCACCTACTTACCGGCACCTTTTCTGGTCAAGGGATAACCTCAAGATGTATTGCAAGAGGCTGCATGTTGCTGACGTGCCGTGTGCACCAAACAACCCGTCCTCCAAGTAATGGTATCACAAATGGCAGGTTGATCAGTCCAGCAACCAGGAGGCCTGGTCGACGACCGGGCCGCGGGGACGCTAAGCCCCGGAAGCACCTTAAGGTAACCTCAAGGTATGGGTTTCAAACGTACCCAAATGGGCGATTTTAGTCGAAATGACACATTAAAGAATTGTCAAGAATAATTAATGAACGCAAGCTAACCTGTCCAGGTAATTCTTAGGCCTAATATTCGCTCTTTTAGGGCCTAATACTGTACGTAAATGTGCTATAGTAGGCTTTGGGATTTTAATTATTTTTCATACCCTATACAAAATTAAGAGTACGATTCGTGAACAGTCCATTTTTGAACAACAGTTCATTTTTGAACAACAGTTCATTTTTGAACAACAGTCCATTTTTGAACAACAGTCCATTTTTGAACAACAGTCCATTTTTGAACAACAGTCCATTTTTGAACAACAGTCCATTTTTGAAAAGTCCGTTTTAGATCGTTCAGCCAAATAGTTGCTAATTTTAGGAGGGTGTTTTAATATAAAAGTTACTGACATACTGTCGAAAATTGTGGATTTCGACAATTGTTGAAATTGTTGGAATTGTTGGAAATTACGTACTTTTGTGTGTATTCACCTAGTTGTATTCACCTAGTTGTGCTTGCGGGGGTTAAGCGTTGCTCCTTCGGCCCGCCTCCCAACTGTCAATCAACTGCTACTAACTACTAACTAATTTTTTTTACACACATACACTCACCCAGGAAGCACCCACACCCGTAACAGCTGTCTAATTCCCAGGTACCTATTTACTACTGGGTAACAGAGGCATCAGGGTGAAAGAAACTCTGCCCAATTTGTCTCTGCCGGCGCCAGGAATCGAACCCGGGCCACAGGATTACGAGTTCCGCGCGCTGTCCACTCAGCATCCACATGTATGCAAACGTGTATGTGTGTTATCTCATCCAGTTGGACTGGTCGGAGCGGAGATGGCCGCTCTTCTTGTAGGTCGGCGTTCCCTACCCGATGGTCGAAGTGGTTGGACACCCTTCCTTCCCTCCGTCCTCATATCCCAGCTCCCTGTCCTCATGTCCCAGCTCCCTGTCCTCATATCCCAGCTCCTTGTCCTCATATCCCAGCTCCCTGACCTTATATCCCAGCTGCCTGTCCTCATATCCTAGCTTCCTGTCCTCGTATCCCAGCTCCCTGTCTTCATATCCCAGCTCCCTGTCCTCATATCCCAGCTCCTTGTCCTCATATCCCAGCTCCCTGTCTTCATATCCCAGCTCCCTGTCTTCATATCCCAGCTCCTTGTCCTCATATCCCAGCTCCCTGTCTTCATATCCCAGCTCCCTGTCTTCATATCCCAGCTCCCTGTCCTCATATCCCTGCTATTCCTACTTATATCCCTACTAAGTGCCATATAGTCATACTGACTTAGCGTTTTTCTCGAAGTGTATAAAAAAAAAACACTACGCCTGATGGACACCTCTGTGTTCTTCAGCCTGCCAATCACATGACCCGCGGTAGCCAATATGAGGCGAGTAACACATATCCCCCTGGAATAACATGTATTTAATTGGTCGAGTGGCCATGTGTGTATGGTGACGTCATAGATAGTGTCGCTGCCCGAACGGAATAGCGAGGATCTCAGTTGCTCTCCCAAGGTCACAAGGGTCGGCCGCGTTCATCCGCGCTCTGTCATGTAACCTCGAAGTCTGATGTTTGCACGAAGGCCCGGATCCCAAGATTTGTGATATTGCCACGCTCTGGAAGAGGATTGGAGAGCGTCGGTGGCGATTTCGATTCGATTCGCCGACAAATTGGGAAGCGTTATCCTTGTGGCAGCAAGGTGCGGGGTTCTCCGTCGCGATAACCAACTGGAGTCTGGTCTCCAGTTGGTTATCGTGACGGACAGCTTTATTGTCAGTATCATGGTATCAGGTGAAGCTGTACCGTCAGTACCATTGTATCAGGTGAAGCTGTACTGTCAGTATCATGGCATCAGGTGAATCTGGCCGAGCGTCTTAAGAAGGGATTAGTCATTGTTAAAACGGTGGAGCTGCCTTGATAACGCTCTAGTACAGACCGGAACGTTATCTTGAGGTTATCTTGAGATGATTTCGGGGCTTAGCGTCCCCGCGGCCCGGTCCTCGACCAGGCCTACGTTTTGTTACACACCACCAGGAAAGCAGCCCGTAGCAGCTGTCTAACTCCCAGGTACCTATTTACTGCTAGGTAACAGGGGCATCAGGATTGAAAGAAACATTTTGCCCATTTGTCTCCGCCTCCACCGGGGATCGAACCCGGAACCTCAGGACTACGAATCCGAAGCGCTGTCCCCCCAGCTGTCAGGCGCGTAACGTACCTACGTTCATCTATTTACGTTCGTCTGGACTGGATTATATGACTTTATAGGACTTGAAAGATAATAAAACTAGTCGAAAAAATTCATGGGAACAGTAATTGGTAATGATGATAAGAGGACTATGTGTACTGTTGGTCAGAGTCCGACTCGATTGATCGATCATTCGACTGTCGATCAGAGAGTCAAGCTCACTTGATAGATCATTCGACTGTCGATCAGAGTCAAATTCACTTGCTAGATCATTCGACTGTCGATAAGAGAGTCCTCGTTTGGCAGATTATTCGCATGTCGAGCGAAGTCCTTATCACTCCGATTCGTAGTCGCATTCATTCGTAGTCGCATTCACTGAACACAGTATTCGAGAATATTGTGTTCAGTTTGGGTCACCATACTGGAGAATATGTACTAACATGTTGTTATAGATTCAGCTACTGGGAGCCAAAAGATCCAAGTAGCACGGGCTATGGTGAGCCCGTAGTGGACTTACCTGCCACAGGAGCGGGGCTGTAAATACTAACACTTAAGAGGTCGTTCAGCGCTCAACACTGAAAACAATACTAAGATTAAACGGCTCTCTCTTGCCTATTTATTGCCTGTCTCCACTTCCTCATCACAATCGACTTGAGAATGGTCCAGGACGGACCGAAACGTCGTCGTCCCTTCACCTTCTAGTGTGTGGTCTGGTCAACCAAGATTAAACAGTTCATTAATGCTGCCGGGTTTCATGTGTTGCATCAATGGTCATGCAATTGTTGGGCGACTTAAGACAAGCATTGTAATTACGAATGGGCAGGACATTATTGAACCAGGACATTTTTTGTATATTTTTACCCAGTCTTTGGAGTCCTTCAGTAATGACTTTAAAAATGGTAAGGGAACGACTCTTACATAGAACGAGCAGCTTACATAGCAGCATTGGTAACAGCATACATAGCAGCATAGGTAACAGCATACATAGCAGCATAGGTAACAGCATACATAGCAGCAAAGGTAACAGCATGCGTAGCAGCATAGGCAACAGCATAGGTAACAGCATACATAGCAGCATAAGCAATAGCATATGTAGAAGCATAGGTAACAACATGCAGAGCAGCATAGGCAACAGTATACGTAGCAGCATATGCAACAGCATACGTAGCAGCATATGCAACAGCATACGTAGCAGCATAGGCAACAGCATACGTAGCAGCATAGGTAACAGCATACGTAGCAGCATATGCAACAGCATACGTAGCAGCATAGGCAACAGCATACGTAGCAGCATAGGCAACAGCATACGTAGCAGCATATGCAACAGCATACGTAGCAGCATATGCAACAGCATACGTAGCAGCATAGGTAACAGCATACGTAGCAGCATATGCAACAGCATACGTAGCAGCATAGGCAACAGCATACGTAGCAGCATATGCAACAGCATACGTAGCAGCATAGGCAACAGCATACGTAGCAGCATAGGTAACAGCATACGTAGCAGCATATGCAACAGCATACGTAGCAGCATAGGTAACAGCATACGTAGCAGCATAGGCAACAGTAACAACAACGGCACTGTTTGGTGATTCAATTTCGTTAATTAATAGTACTAATAATAATACAAACATGGTAAATGATAAGTACGATAACAGGAAATAATAAAGATGAAGCTCGTCCTTCGGAGTCGAGGATAACCATAAGTGAAATATCAATAATACAAATAATAAAGATAAAATAAATAGTAAATAATAAAACGATAAGTAAAAGAGTAATATGGAGGCAAGACGGGGCCCCCGAGATGAAGATCTTCCTAAGATTAAGACAGACAGACAGCGGCTTGTCAATACATGTCATGATTGTTCCGGAATTTCGAAGCTCGTTGAGATTTGTGCCAAGGATTCAATTATCCACCTTCCCAGGGGTATTATCCACCTTCCCAGGGGTATTATCCACCTTCCCAGGGGTATTATCCACCTTCCCAGGGGTATTATCCACCTTCCCAGGGGAATTATCCACCTTCCCAGGGGTATTATCCACCTTCCCAGGGGTATTATCCACCTTCCCAGGGGTATTATCCACCTTCCCAGGGGTATTATCCACCTTCCCAGGGGTATTATCCACCTTCCCAGGGGTATTATCCACCTTCCCAGGGGTATTATCCACCTTCCCAGGGGTATTATCCACCTTCCCAGGGGAATTATCCACTTTCCCAGGGGAAGGTGGATAATATGGATATGTCTGATCTAACTTGAAATATAATGGTTTAGTACCGTACAGTACATCTCCTAAGCACCTGGTCCATATGTAAGCCCCAACCAATTGCAGACTGTAGGGGTCACAATAACGTGGCTGAAATATGTTGACCAGACCACACACTAGAAGGTGAAGGGACGACAACGTTTCGGTCCGTCCCGGACCATTCTCAAGTCGATTGTCTTGAGAATGGTCAAGAAACGTCGTCGTCGCTTCACTTTCTAGTATGTGTGTGGTTTGGTCAACACCAATCAATTGATCCCAGTTAAATTATTTCATCCCTCCATTAATTAAAACACACACACACACACACACACACACACACACACACACACACACACACACACACACACACACACACACACACACACACACACACACACACACAATTTTCGACAAGTGTAGATCGAAATACACTCTGTAATCTGGTGCGAGTACACTAGTGTAGGTGTTTCCTCTGAAGGGGTTCCCAGTACACAGAGCTAGTACTCACGAAGGGGAAGGGGCCCGTGTTTACTACTGCCCGAGCACAGACTCATACCAGTTCAATTTCCATTCTAAACCAGGCGTCCTGGGGGCATCAAACAAGCGACCCATATCACGCGCCCTCTCCCAGTGTAATCAAGGAAGTAAGCCACTAAACCGGTGTTGATAATTGAAACCGGGTTCCAGCAGCTAGACAAGTCTTACCAATACGGTGAAGGGAACGTTGTGGTGTCGGTAACACCGGAACCTAACACCTGGTAACACCTGGTAACACCTGGTGACACCTGGTAACACCTGGTTCTCGTCTACCTTGAGCTCCGGCAATATCTAAGCTTAGCTTGTTACGTAATTTGACATTGATCTATATATTAATTGGTCATAAATCATTGAATTGAAGTCAGCCAGCCACATGCCAGAGAGGTAGAATGTCTCACCAGCGGTAGATGGTAACAGTCTAGCAGATATGTCAGACGGCTTTGAAATCGAAACTGACCTATCAGGAAAAGCTTAATTTGGTCGCACCAATCGGATTGCTTCTGTTTTCAAGTTCAGCCAATGGCAGCCTCCCATGTGAAGCTCTGATCCAAATAATGTTGACGGGAGAAGACAGTCAATTGTGACTGACGGTAAGTATGCCGTCGCAGTTCTATTATTGACAGATGTAAGATCATTAACATTTCACAAGAGCAGACAGGTACTTGTAAACGATGAGTCACAATAACGTGGCTAAAGTATGTTGACCAGTCCACACACTAGAAGGTGAAGGGACGGCGACGTTTCGGTCCGTCCTGGACCATTCTCAAGTCAATTGTCGACTTGAGAATGGTCCAGGACGGACCGAAACGTCGTCGTCCCTTCACCTTCTAGTGTGTGGTCTGGTCATCAAGGTACTTGTAAACAACCAAGCCACACACACCAGAAGATGAAGAGATGTGCGTGTTTTCTCTTTCACAAAGTTGACACACGTCGGGCTCACCATAGCCCGTGCTACTTGGAACTTTTTGTTCCAAGTAGCGAATCCTAAACAACAACAACAACAAGTTGACACACACATGGTGTATTCCACATTTTGGGTTTTGTGAAAGCTGCCAGAGACGTCTATATCCCAGGTGTATTCTGGCTACAATAACATCACATTGCCCAGTTCTTGCTCTATTAGTTCCATGTATGAATGTCTCGATATTCATATATATGGAATATCGAGACATTCGATATTGTCTCGATATTCGATATCACGATATCTATCATACTGTTTAATGCTACAACTTTCAGGTCTTTGTGAATTTGTTCATTTGTTAGGTCAGTAAAATTTTCATCAGATGTTTAAGTATTGTTAAGAGTATGTTAGAGAGAGGGAAGGTGTTGGAGAGGCGAGAGTGAGTGAAGGATGGCAGGATGAGGAGATGAAGGAATGAGAGAGAGAGAGAGGGAGAGAGGAGTAGGAGTTGTAAGGAGAAGGCAGGGAAGGGAGCGGAAGGAAGTAGCATTAGTGTGAGCACTCAGACCATTGTCCACAACTGCTTCACTAATGGTGGGCAGCGTCTCAGGATGGCAATTGAAATTACTCTTAAATCGACTTAGCTTTGTCTCGAACATCTGTTTTATCTCTTTTTTTTTTCCTTGTCTACCCCCTCTTATTCCCTCATACCTGGTCTCTATCCCAACCTGTCATCATTCCTCCTATCCTTTCCTTCCCCCCCTCCCCCATCCCTCCTTCGGCCCTTTCCCTTCCAGTCGCCAGATTCACGAAGCAGTTACGCAAGTACTTACGGACGTCCACATCTTTCCTCAATCTTTGACGGCTTTGGTTACATTTATTAAACAGTTTACAAGCATGAAAACCTCCCAATCAACTGTTGTTATTGTTATAAACAGCCTCCTGGTGCTTCCGGGCTCATTAACTGTTTAATAATTGTAAACAAAGCCGCCAAAGATTGAGGAAAGATGTACAGGTTTTTTGAGATATATACAAGAGTTGTTACATTCTTGTACAGCCACTAGTACGCGTAGCGTTTCGGGCAGGTCCCTGGAATACGATCCCCGCCGCGAAGAATCGTTTCTACAACCAAGTACACATTTTACTGTTGCGTTAAACAGAGGCTACAGTTAAGGTTCGTAAGTGCTTGCGTAACTGCTTTGTGAATCTGGCCATGAGATCTCAACAGCAGCATCCACAGGAGCATCTTGCCTCGTGCCTCTGGGGGGGGGGGAGGCTGAGAGAAAGATGTGACAGACTCGAGTAGCGAGATATGATGGGTAGGAGCACAAGGGAACGAGGAGGAGCATGGTGGTGAGGATGGAGCATGGCGGTGAGGATGGAGCATGGCGGTGAGGATGGAGCATGGCGGTGAGGATGGAGCATAGCGGTGAGGATGGAGCATGGCGGTGAGGATGGAGCATGGCGGTGAGGATGGAGCATGGCGGTGAGGATGGAGCATAAGAACAAGTGGAAAGAAAAATATTACCAGAGACAAACAAACAATTTAGAATGAGAATAATAGTAGGGGAAGGACATGGGGAAAGTTATTGGGAAAGCAAAGAGAAGGGACAGTAGAAGCTCCGCAGAAGAGATTAAGGTAAGAGCACAGGGATTGGGGAAGGTCAGTAGGGAGGACAGTGGGAGGGGGGGGGAGGGATTAGAGTGATAAGGGAGGGGGGGGCTTTAGGGTAAAGCCCCGAGGGAGATAACAGAGGAAGGAGGGAGCTAGGGTGAGGGATGAGGAGGAGTTTGGGTGAGGGATGAGGGGGAGTTTGGGTGATGTAATACATAATATCTATAATACATTACACTTTGCGACTTAGGCTCATCAGGGCTTGGCTCCCAAGGCGAGCTCCCATTGGCTGAATTTATTCCGCCTCTCTTGTATTGGTCACTTCAATTTCAAAGACAAAGGAAAGAGTGGTTGGGTAGGTGTGAAGCGGAAGAGGAAGAGAAATGGGTAGGGAGGGAGGGGCAAGGAGGGAAGGAAGGAAAGAATGATGGTCCAGGAAGAGGAGAGTAAGGAACAGGAGAGTGAGAGGGAAAAGGAGGGAGAAGAGAGAGTGTCCTCTCGATGTCCTCTAAATGTTCTCGTTCATGTTAACAAAATCTTCGTCGTCAACTTGTAATTGGCTTTACATTTTTATTTCTTGAACCTTTTAAAACTTTTGTTGACGTTCAAACATGAATTGAAGTTCATTTTTTTAAATTAGGATAAACATTTTTAAGTTAGAGCGAAGCCGTCAAACATCAGCAGCAGCAGCGTGTTGACTGTGTAGAAGCTCTCATGTCCCATGAGCGGCTCGTCCCTGTTAGCTATCCTTGTGAAAAGAGGAGCACATGGGAACTTTTTGGAGCATGTCTGGGATCGAACCAGCGTCCTGCGTACCCCCAGACGCAGACGAAATTCTGAATGGTGTAACTGTAACCTAACCCAACCCAACCCAACCCAACCCAGACCAATTTAGTCTGACCCAGCCTACAGCCTAAGCCCAGCCTTACTTATCTCAATGCAATCAAGTCCAACTCATCCCAAGTGAATCTAAACCCATCCTAATTAGCTCAATCCTGCCTGTTCTAGCCTGTCCCATCCTAACAACGCATCACTTAACGTGAAGTATAACTCGCTTAGCCATATTTGTAACCCGGCGAGAGTGTGGCTTCAAACGTTTAAGTGTGTGGGAGAGTGTGACCGCGTCCCATGGAGTGTGTGTGTGGGAGAGCCAGGGGGAAGGGGAGCACTGTGACTACGAGGGCAAGTGAAGGGTCTTCAGGGACAGGGACGAGTGGCGTTTTCAATTTTTAACCGCGAATCTGTCCCTTGAGGGCAGGACGGGTGGTGGTGAATGGGACAGGAAGCTCTGTATATGCTGCCATCCCTTGACCTCAGCATACTCTTCCGTTTTCCAT